AGATTTTAAGCTTCACGAGCTGGGCCTTTGTTACCTTTTTGTCTTAAATTGCTTTGCAACTGCACAGTCTCTTAAAGTATATGTAAACCCTCACCTTGTAAAACAACCCATTCAGTTTAAAACTTAAATGAAAGGCAAAACATTTGTGTACAGATATTTAAAAAAAAACTATTCTAAATACTTTCCCCTCCTTTTTTATAAGTGATCATATTTCTTCTGTTCTGCATAAGAACTGGAGGAGGAGAAACAGCGGAACACTGATCTTACCAGTGAATGGCTGTGCAGGTAGGGGAAGTTGTCAGGACAAGTCTGATCATTGGAGGAGAGCAGGCTGAGTTCCCAGGATAGCTAGAAAACTGACCATGCTGTGCTCTCCTGCTCAGCATGGTCAGTTTTTAATATGAAAGGGACCGACAGGAGCGTGCGCACCACGATCTGTGCCTACTGTGTCCGGAGGACATAGCGGAACACAGATCGCTGTACGGGACCTCTGTTTGAGGTCCCGATCATGTGATCACTGACTGGCCAATCAGTGATCACATGAATAATAGTAAACAAGATGTCACTTTCTGCCATCATTGCTTGCTACGCGTGAAATCTGTGAATGATCACAGAGGTCACGTGATACAAGGCTATTCACAACAGCTTTTGTACCATGTGACAAGCTGTGACCAATCACAGCTCGCACAGTATTTCTGAAGGAGAAGGAGAAATTATTGCTTTTACAGCATTTATGGATGTAAAAGCAATCAGTGTAAAAAAAAGAAAAAATGCTAGGCAGGAACAACATTATAAGCAAACTATTATAAAAATACTGAGATAAAACAAAAACAACCTACCATAGTAGGGCACTTAAACCAGTCCCATTCCTAAAATTGAACACCCCCTGGGATATTTGCTACCTGATAGTTATGCTGTATAGAAATGTACTACTAGGGTGACAGTATGTAAAAAAAAAAAAAAAAAACATAAATAATAATAATAAAAAAAAAAAAGGTAAAAAAAGTTTTGAAAAAATTAAATTTTTGGTTATAAACTAATTGGGTTATTTTTTTTTTTACTAAAAAGATGATGAATAAATTGTGGGCAAGATTTCTGAAGAAAGATTATTTATTTACAAAATTTTATAAGAAAAACACTTTTTTTTTTAATTAGGACTTTTATAGCAAAAAATAAAAATTCTAGTGGTGGACTTCAAAATAAAGAGTTTTATCTGTCATTCTAATGGGTACAGTGTTGCATGACCACACAATTGTCATTCAAAAAACTGAAAAAAATTCTAGGACAGGAATAAATACTTGAAAATAAAGTAGTTTTGACTGCTCTGTCTCTTGATTGATTATAAAAAAAAACATGTCTAATGGGTACAGTGCTATTGCATAAAGCGACCACAAAATTGTCCGCTTTAAAGATTGGTCCCCTGCTCCCCAGCACCTTTTACCGATCACCCACTCCCACTGAGATCGCCTAGGTGATCGGAAGCAGAAGTTTTGCCTACCCTCCCTCCCTCCCTGTACTCTTGTGGAACATGTGACAGGTCCCAGAAGACGACGGGACAATTCAGGAAGCGCAGCACTACTCGTCATGCACAGTGGGCACCTGGCTATGAAGCCACAAGCTGTCACAGCCGGGTGCCCACACTGAAGATGCCGGCGCCTGGAATACAGGACGGTTGGTGAAACGGGCTACGGCGGGGGCACCGCAGGATCGCGGGACAGGTGAGTGGCTGTTTTTAAAACGTTAGCAGCTACAGTTTTTGTAGCTGCTGACTTTTATTTCTTTACAGAGTGAGTGGAACTCCGCTTTAATGTTCAAATCCCCAAAAGAAACTGAAAATTGATTTGAGTTTGGACTGGAACCTGTTTCTTTGTATATTGCAATAAAGTAGGAAAGGATTGAAATCTGGCTGCTTTTTGTTCTCTGTGCACAGTTTATAGGTTTTTACTACACAATTTTCCTGTTCCTAAAGCCACCATCTCTTACTGTTGTTCCTTACTCATACATACTGAATGCAAAACTCAAATTTACATTCGAAAAAGGTTTTTACAACAGGCTACAATATATCTTTGACAGGCCTTGAGTTTGGAATGGCCATCATGCCACATTTCAAAAACGGTACAATTTTTGCAAGCGACACTCAAATTGGTCTCATTGCTTAATATTAGCAAAGCATATGAGCAGCCATACGTATTGTCTGCTGCAATCCCTACCCCCAGCCTAAACAGGAACCATGCTGAAATCTCTGACAATACATTTGGCGACTCCTGTTTCTGCAGTGAGATATTCTGGATTAATATAGCGATGACAGATGATAGGAGAAGCCTACAGCAAATCTAAAAATATCTTCAACATTTCTGTGACACAGAGAGGTTACGGTGACAGATGCTTTTTGCAGGGCATCACAATCACATAGGCAAAAGGGAATACATTTTGTTATCTCTAACATGGCAACACTTACACAGAAAAAAACTATTGCACATGGGATGCATTTATCTCTCTCCAGTATGACACAAATGCAAGCGTATTATGCATCGTGTTATCAAGTACCCAAGGTAACATATGAAAGAAAGATCTGATGGACAGTAATGCTTCTGTGGGCAATACAATACAGAAAGCTACATGACAGGGAGTACATGTATAGTCAGAATTTCTGTTGCCCTTGTGCAAGGAACTTGTCCTTTCCTCTGTATGGTGACAGTGACAGGTGGAGTAAACAATGGTGAATGTGATCCCTTTATCGGCATTTGAAGGCTTTAACGTCTTTACTATGGTATAGACATCCTCATAATTATTCAGGGTCTGAAATGTACATGACAAGGGACCATATCCAAACGTCCATCTCAAAGGTCACGCTACTAAAGAGAATTATGCCTTTCTAGAACAACAGCTAACAATGCAGCTTGCAAATTGCTTGCATACCATTTACAAAATTATTTGCCATATGCTGCAGTTGCCTAAATACATCAATATGCCTTCACACAGTACTTCTGTGTTCCCTGTGCTGCTGGGTGCCATAGCATTGACACAGCCTACTATGTCTGCAGCAACAATTTAAAACCCAACTACCACCAAAACTTTTTATTAAATTTTGGGTAGCTAGGGAGGATTAAAGATAAAATATTTAATTGCCATCTGTATATCTGTATCCCAATTAGATACAGAAACAAACTAAGTAGTCCATCTAGACTAGGGTGTCAAACTGGCGGCCCTCCAGCTGTTGCAAAAATACAAGTTCCATCATGCCTCAGCCTTTGGGAGTCATGCTTGTAACTGTCAGTCTTGCAATGCCTCATGGGACTTGTAGTTTGGCAACAGCTGAAGGGCCGCCAGTTTGGCACCCGTGATCTAGACTGTTTTATACTTTACATTTTTTTTTTTTTTTGGAGTATAGACCCACAATTATACCAAGAATGTTTAAATTCATTTTCTGTTGACTGACTCACTTTGTCTGCCAGAATTCTGTTCTAAGCATCCACTAATATCCACCAATCAACCTAGTGTCCACCAATATAAAAATACAATTTCTCTAAGGTTAGTTTTAAGCCTTCTTTTTGATACTGTCAGGTCATGCTTCTGTATTTTTAATCTTAGCTTTATACTGAAAATACTACGGTCTTGAAACCTAAGCCAGCCATAGATGGAGAGAGCCAAGAAAATCGCTCAGTTCCCCCATTGACATAGTCAGTGAGGCTCTGAGCCATTGTGTTCTCCCTGTGGGGGGAGCTATCCCCATAGGAGAACACAGTGATTACTGCTGTAGGCTATAATAGCTGCTAGCAATAATCGTATGTAAAATCCGACAGGCTGGTTGTACCCAAGTTGATCGCTCGATTAACCTGGGTACATTCAGCCTGCCCATACATGGTTCAAAACTCAGGCAGTCCCTGCTGAACCATCAGGGATTCAAGCTATGGCCGACTTTATTCAAACCCTTATTTTATTTAAATGTTTCAATCATATCTCCCCTTTTGCTTCTTTTCCCCAGGCTGTACATATTCTTATTATTATTATTATTATACAGGATTTATTTAGCGCCAACAGTTTTCTTAGCGTTTTCCAAATAAAGTGAGACATACTAAAGTGGAACTGCACTTAATCTGGGTATAACAAACCAAAAATGCTATTTAATTAATTTTTAATATTCAAAGCAAACTGAACAATCCATCCATGTCTCCATGCTTTACTTTGCTGAGAAATTATTTTGAAAAAAACCTGGCATTTCTGGCAGTGGCCATCTTAAGTAAGGGCAAGTGATTCATGTATCATTTACTTCCTGGAATCCATCTGCTCATAGCTCAGGCATAGGCTAAGCTGAGAACCCTCCCTCCCCTCCTGAAGGCTCCTGGGATGTATGACGTAATTTGCCTAGGCATGGAAACCAGGAATTAACTGAAAAAAATAAAAAAGGTTTAAAACAAGTAAATATGGTCTATTTATCTATTTACCAATGCTAGCAGCATAAGGATTAAAAATAGTCCATGTAGATTGGAAGAGTGAAGTTCTGCTTTAAGTTGCTGAAGTTTGCTCCTGATATGTTTTATCCCTTGGGCTTAGTGCCATTTTTGTTTCCCGCCTCTAGACTCGTTCTATCTTATCAATATTTTTTGTAAGTGAGGTCTCCAGACTCGCGCACAGTATTAATACATGAACATGCAGAGAAGAATAGTAATTTCTCCTACAGGAACACAGAAAAAAAAAAAACATTTTTTTTGTAGAGAGAGAAAGGGTTAGAAATGTTGATTTTTTTTTTTGCCCATGCCTTCCTGTCGCAGTAGCAACCACTCATTTCTTCTATAGGCAACACGGAGGCAAAAAAATTAGATAAAATATCTCAAAGGAGTTTTTATAGAAAGAAAAAAGATGTAACAAAAAATGCTAAATCTTTCCCATTTTACCTAAAATTATTTTTGTAAATATTTTATAATATTTATTATATTTATATAATATTTATTTTTAATGATACATGAATTTTAGGAACCTGTAATAACTGTCTGATTTCTATCTGTAGGAGTCGCATCCCTGCCTCTTCCTTTAAGTTCCAGTTTAAGAATGTGGAATACAGTTCTGGGCGAAACAAAACTCTCCTGTGCTACACTGTGGAACGAGGAGAAGGTCAGATCTTCCGTGGGTACTTAGAGGATGAACATGTCTCTGCCCATGCAGAGGATGCATTCTTCACCAATGTCCTGCCACAATATCTCTCCTCCAATCCAGTTGCCGTAACCTGTTATGTGTCATCCAGCCCCTGTGTCGACTGTGCTGCCTGCATCGCTCGGTGCCTGCGACGGTACAAAACAGTGAAACTTCAGTTGGTTGTAGCACGGCTCTTCCAGTGGGAAGAATCAGAGATCCGTGGGGCACTGCGAGGCATAAGCTCTGCAGGCTGTAAGCTTCGGATGATGAAAAGTGCCGACTACTTGCAAGTATGGCAAAATTTTGTGGAGCCTGACATCATACTAGATGAAGAAGGGAATGCTGAGCCACAGAGCGAGCAAGGAGACTTTATACCTTGGGAGGATTTAGAGGAAAATGCCAAATATTACGAAGAAAAGCTTGCAGAAATTTTGAGATAAGCAACTGTTGCGCCAGTGAAATGCCACAGTACAAATGATTGTGGCCTGCTTTGCTACCTTCATTACAAATGTTATTTTTGGTTCTCAGACTTCCCTTGTACATCTTGCTTTAATTATTGTTTCTCCATTGGAGGAATTTACTAAATGCTACCTTTTTACTAAGATGAATTTGCTAGTTTAGTGTAGTTGCAATAAATTACGAAATATGATACATACAGATGCAAAATGTACATTGTTATTTTGAATGGTTCGTGATTTCTTGGAGATGATCACATTTATACATATAGTAAGAATGAAAACAATGTCAAAACCATTGGGGTTGATGGTTTCTGTAAACAGATTTTTTTTTAGCTCTTTAAAAATTTTAAATAATATTGGATGAAGTTAACAGCATATGCTGGTGCCTACTGTCTTATTCACTTCAGTAACAATTCAGTGATAAATTAAAAGGTTTTTAAATTTCAAATATCTTTCAAATGCAATAGTGGTAAGCCATGGTAAGGCATGTGATCATTTACCCCCTGCATGCACACACACATGCAATAAGGCTAGGTTCACATATGTGCGGGTGGTGCGGCTGTGGGACATGCACAAAAATACCTGCAGCCACAGCACCCGCACAGAGCAATGCGGGACCCTGGGTGGGTGCCATTAATTCTAATGGCATGCCGCCCACACTGGAAATCGCAAACTGTACTGGGAATCTCAGTTCCCGTGCGGGCTTCGGTTTCCAAAGAAGTGCAGGGACTTCTTCCCTGCGTGGCTGGGGCATGGGAGTCCATTCAACTGAATGGGCTCTTGTGCCCACGCAAAACGTGGCCCGCACGGGCGCATATATGTGAACCAGGGGTCAGGCAATGGAGTTAATTTACTAAACTTGGAGAATGCAAAATATGGTTCAGCTGTGCATGGTAGTCAATCAGCTTCTAACTTCAGCTTGTTTAATTAAGCTTTGACAATAAAACCTGAAAGCTGCTTGGTTTCTATGCAGAGCTGTGCCAGATTTTGCACTTTCCAGTTTTAATAAATCAACTCCTGTGTGTTATTGTGTGTTGGTGTGTATTAAGGCTACCTAATTTATTTTTAATAAGCTGGCCTTTTTTTTACTTAAGTGTTTATAGTACTTCAAATAATGAAGTGAGTTATAGGGATAATGATTAATAATAAAGAAATTGCTCATTAAACCCAACTGGCAGTTTAAAGATAAAGCTAAGGTGAAAACTAAATGTTAAGCACTATAATACGTGAATACATGTAAAGTGGACCTTGAGCTAAAATGTAAGATCTAATCTTTACATCATGCCTCCCTTTCATTTCAAATTGCTGCATAATAGCTGTAATAAAAAACATATCTTTTGGGAAAAATAGTTAGAAAACATACTCACTGTACCCTACTGCCAGCTTTTGCACTGAAGAAGGTGAAGTCATGATCCTTATGGCAAGGTATGCTTAGTATCTCAAATCTCGTGAGAAGATTCTCTACCACCATGGTGGATATGGGATACTCAGCAACTCGGAGATCTTGCCTGAAGGACCATGATGGTCACCCACTCCAGAGCAGAAGTAAATTGTAAGGTAAGTATATTTCCTAACTTTTTCCCACAGGCATTTTAATTCTAGCTATCATGTTGTGACGTGAGATGGAGGAGGCCTGCTGTATTGTGTAGACCTTGCGTTTTGCTACAATTAAATTCAATATTCACTGTGCAACTATTATTTTTACATCTGTTTGTATTAATTCATTTTTATGTCATCTAACAAACTATTATGACTAAAGTGGCAGTGGAAATATGTGCACAAAGGCAAGCATATCAAACTTGAATGAAACATTGATCCAAACTGAGTGGTATCCATAAAGGGCCATATTATGTTAATTGAGGGCCGCACCTACCTAATTCCAGAACACAGGTTTATAGCATTTCAGTAATTAACATTACAGTAACAACTACAATGCACAACATCGTATCCCAGAGAAAAGGACTGTAATACATTTCCTAAAGTATTTTGCTGCAAAGTTACATAAGTAATACCTGAAGAGCAGTTGATGTCCTGACATCACTATGAGCCACAAGGAAGAATTTAGGGGACCATATGTGGCCTACAAAAATAGTTTTACATACTTGCATTAAAGGGTAAGTCCACCCAAAGCTGATATATTTAGGTAGAGCCTGGTGGGCTGAGACAGTCCCTGACATCTTATATGTGCTGAACCCCAAAAGGAAAATCTGCTATAACCCCTTACTTTGTTTTGGCCACTTGAGAATTTAAGGGTACCCTACTAATCTTTGGAGTGCCTTCTGCTGCATTTTTCCATATTATAAAATAAATAAAAAGGCCAAGACGGAGCATAGGATCTTCTCATAACGGCCACAGCAGGTGTACAGTCCCAAAAACTCAAACACAGAGATCTTAGCAGTTATGTCCCAGAAAGATATAAGTAAAACATCAGTGCTTTAAATGGAACATCTACAAAAATAAAACACTATTTTTGTGTACACTGATCTTCTATATCACTTCTGCGGTATTAGATTTAGTGTCATCTTCCATTTATAGTCTAAAGTCTAAAGCACTCAGTCAGCAACCAGTCTATCTATAATATTCAGTCCTGACATTACCATAAATAACTTCATAGAAAAATGTTTTAGTTTCTGAAAAACCTCAGTCCAATAAAGGTGGATCTTAGGGGCTTTCAGAATAATATATCATGCCCCCTTGTCTTCCCTTTACTTGATCGTTTCATTTTATCGCATTGTGTTGCTTCCATTTACTTATTTCCTGCATACATTTTTTTTCCTTTGCATCAATGTATATGTTTTTTGTGCTTAATATTGATTTCCAACATCCTGTTAGCACTTCTTTATGTTTCTGTTTTATCATGTTCCCCTTTCAACTGCTTAGTATGTTCATTGGTGAACCCATGTCATGCTTTTAGTCCGTAATACCTTGGTCCTGCATACATTTTTTCCTTTGCATCAATGTATATGTTTTTTGTGCTTAATATTGATTTCCAACATCCTGTTAGCACTTCTTTATGTTTCTGTTTTATCATGTTCCCCTTTCAACTGCTTAGTATGTTCATTGGTGAACCCATGTCATGCTTTTAGTCCGTAATACCTTGGTACTTGTAGGTTAAAGGATAACTAAACCCAAACACAATATAATTGTGTATATGTGATATGTTTTAATATGTAATATATTGCAGTGTACTACCAACCCTTAGATGTGGTGGTTGTATTAGTTTTAAATTTTTCAGGCTAAGAATATTGTTGGCAAGTACAGAAAATACCTATTAATCTCCCAGAAATACAGTGTCCTTGTTACTTCTCTTTATTCTGTAAACTACAAATCCTACCACCACCTCCATGAAACTGGGGATAACCATAATCAGTTAGTGTCCATGCACTGTATGGTACCTCCATACCATACAGTGCAGGAATGAATATAGCCACCATAGGCAAGGAAGTGTGTTGTTCATAGAATTACCAGGTGAAAAAAAAGGAACAAAATCCTGAAAAATAAGTAAACAAAAGCATCCACATCTAAGGACTGGTAAGCAGCTATATATTATATTTTTGTTTAGGGGGTGTTAGATGTGCTTTAAATGTCTGAATATTGGGATATATTAGAAAGCAAATAGTTCTGTGGAATGGATTACACAGAACTGTAGTGATAATGCTAATTGATCCCTTCTTATGTAACAACATATTTGTTTTATTGTGTTCTGGGAGATTTGGAAAAGAATGGCTGCCGTGGACATGTGTTTGTGTTCCACTGATTTGTCAAGATTAAAAGTTGGATGAATATTTCCTAAATGTATCTGCCTGTGTTCTGGTTATTGGGACTAATGAGAGACAGGTCTAGTTTTGCTGTCTTCTGCTCTGCAGCTGTCACCTACATGTTGTGTCAGACATTTGAAGTCCTCATTCAGTGCGAAGTCATGCAGGCAGTCCTTTTCATGTCTGTTGGGGTGCAGCAGCTGGAAGGACAAGTGCGGGTGTATGTCTCCTAAAGCACATTGACTGCATTCTGGGAAATGCACATGCACCCGCACCTGCATCACTTTCAAATTAGGACCAGTAGTTGTGTCCGTGCATCCTCTGCATCCAAATAGACATGGATGGGACTGCCTGTACACGAATGCATGGAACACCAGTGCATCCCAAATGGGCAAAGACGGCCCTTTGCACAGATACACCCGTGTGAATGACACCAAAAAATGATTCATGTGTTTACTGTGAATGAGGAAGGGTTAGCTTTCTAGTGCTGTCTGTGTCCCCTCTGGGGAGATTTTTCCTCCTTTCATTTCCCATTGAGAACAGTCACAGGCAGGAAGTGGTGATAAATCTTTCTATTAGGAACACATACAGCAACAGGGTTTTAACATTGTCTGTATCTCCTTTATTGTATGAACTAGTTACAGAAGTCAGAAAGTTGTGATGGTATATTCTGATCAGAACTGAAAATCCCCCCGTTCATGCAAACCACTGCAGGTGTGTATGTTAAGTTAACAACACCCCAAAATCAGTCCACAAAATGTGGTGCGATGTGCTGAATCGCATTGCATGGGTGTGAATACCCATGCGAACCAAAAAAAGGGTCCTGCACCTTTTTGGTGTGGATGTGGTGCAGAATGTATGGCTCCAATCGCACTGCACACAATTCGCATGTGATTTGCACAGGAATGCAGTGTGGATATACCGCACCGCATATGTGTGAACCCAGCCTGAGTCTTGAGATGAATACCAGGAACACAGCTTGTTTGGGGCTTCAATATTTGATTCAAGCATGGAGGTAGGCCAACCAAATCCACTCCCCTGTATTAGCAATATCAGAATCTAGCAACCCCTTTTGCTTAAAGAGGAAGCAAAGTTTTTTTTGTTCTCCCTTGAGCTTTTGCCATAATACAACGTATGCACAATGTACAGTATATGCACATTATGGTACACTTGCAGTGTAAAGTATCACCCTCCAGTGCTGAAGTTCACAGTCTACCTTGACAC